TGTTCACCATCACATCCCTGATGCCCCGCCTAGTGCTCATATGGGCTCTCAGCAAACAGTTAAATTACTGAGTAAAATGGAGCAGGAAAGCTGGATCTTAAAGAGATACTTTCTAATGAATGAGATTCAAAGGAAGAGGCAAGGCCCTATAATAGCCTTTCTCAATCTTTTTACCTTAGAGGAATGCTGAAAGTGATTTTTAGGTTTCAGAACCCCTGTGTAAAAATTATTGCATTTGTAACTCCTGGTTTATTACTAGTGCAATCAGTATGTCATAAATATGACACTGCAATATAATTGTCAGTGCTTTTGAGAAGACAGTATTTTTCTGTGGATCTGTGTATTAGTCTGGTAGGGCTGCCATAACAAAGTGCCATAAACTGGGTGGCTTAAACAACACAAATTTAATTTTCTCATGGTTCTGGAGACTAGAGGTCTGCAATCAAGGTGTCTTGTGGGGCTGGTTTCCTCTGAGCCTGTCTCTTTGACTGTCCACCTTCTCCCTGTGTCTCCCTGTGGTCATCCCTCTGTGCCTGTCTGTGTCCTCATCTCGTCTTATGAGAACACCAGTCAGATTGGATTAGGGTCCACCCTAGGGACCTCATCTTAACTTACTACCTCTGTAAAGATCCACTTTCTGAATAAGTCACATTCTGAGGTACTGGGGGTTAGGACTTCAACATGTGAATTAGTGTAGGAACACAACCAGCCTGTAATTGTCTGTTAAGTTGGCTGGTTTATTACCCACTCTTGCTGTGGTTCCCTTCCCACATACAGGGTGTCAACTCTCATGCAAACCAGGTGGTGTAGGTAGACTCTTCAGTTTCTCCTTTTGTTAAATTTTCTTCTTTATTTTCTTTTTGGTTTATCCAAGAATGCCTAAAGGTCTTTTCATAGTGTTCTATTATGTAAGATGCTAATGAGGCATAATATACAGTATTTGTAAGGTAGTTTGTTTCCACTATAAAACAAAAATTTTCCTTATTTAAAAAAAGGTAGTAAGGCCTAGCTTACTTTTCTTGAAATTAATCTTTCTTTAAAAAGTTATTTTTCAATTCCTAAAAGAAAACGAATTTCTGTTAACTTTCCTAAGACAAAATTGGGTTTTATTTTTATGAAGTTGGTTCATTTGGCAGATTTAAGTGAAGGTTGTAAATTGATTTTAATTAATGTAAAAAAAAGAAAATTTATCACAATGTTTAGTTAGGTGACTAAAATGAAAGCTACTAGCATCATAAGCCAAAGCAACATGAATACAAATATGGCCTAAGACACAATTTTATCCAAAACTGAAGGAAGCAGTTATGCTTAAATACCAGCCTCAGCCTCGTAAAATTACAATACATGTTTTTAAAATTTTTTATAGGCCTGTAACATAAAAGGTGTTGATGTCAAAACTGAAAATAAGGAATGATACTTCCTTAATGTTTAGATTGTGTTTGTTTTTGCCATGCAGATACTTAGTTCTCAGCTGAACTTGAGCTAAGCACATACGAATTTCATTTTCAGCTGAGATGAGACCCTTTCTGCTCTTGCCCTTGACAGTCCTCAAAGGAGGCAGATCTTATCTGCACATGTGAGATGATGAGGCGCCAGCCCAGTGTGCAGCTGCATCTCTGTGAATGGTAGTTTTCTCCTTTAGAAATCTAGAACTCAGACGTAAATGTGTAAAACTCAGAACTCGTACCTTGAATATGTGATTAGACTGCAGCTTGGAAGTTCTTTCTCATGTCTCAAGGTCAAGTTCTCAGATTGAGCAGATTTGGGGAAAGGTCCCTGAGAACCCAGCCATACGCTGTGTGGAAAGGAGGAAAAACACTCAGTTTTGTCCTGCTGCCCTCTTAGGCCATTTTCTATAAGGCTTTAGTCTTGCTGATACCCTTCTACACTTTCAAACACAAGCAGCGGTGGGAACATTTCAGAGTGTCCTTTCTTTTCCCTTTGATTGGAAACAAAATTCACATAACATAAGAATCACCATTTTAAAGTAGGGTTCCGTAGTGTTTAGGACATTCACTGTGTTGTGCAACCATCACCAAACTCTGGACCGCCCCCCATTCCTTCCTCTCTCAGTCCCTAGCAACCACTCTTACTGTCTGCTCTATGTATTTGACTATTCTAGGCACCTCATAGAAATGGAATCATCCAATGTGTGGCCTTTTTTGTCTGGCTTCTCCCACTTAGTATAATATTTTCAAGGTTCATCCATGCTGTAATACATATCATACTTAATTCCTTTTTTTAATGATATACCACATTTCATTTACCCACTCATCAATTGATGGACACTTGGGTTGTTTCTGCTTTTTGGCTACTATGAATAATGCTGCTATGAATATTCATGTACAAGTGGTAATGTGCAGATATGTTTTCAATTCTCTAAAGTGTATGCCTAGGTCTAGAATTCCCATTATCTCACACCTAGTCTTCAAAAACTGCCCCATTGGGCTGCCAGGTACGTTTGTAAAACACAAACACTAATAAAATATAAAACTCATAATTAATAACTAAGCCAGAATTACTAAAAAATATGAAAATTTCATAACACAATTCACTTTTCACTGCAGAATCCACATTTGTTAATGTTAGCAACAGCAAAGAGACAGGGGGAACAGCCCCTGGGTTTTTAAAACTTCTCTTTAGAACAAAAAATTCCCTCTAGTTTCCTATTATAGCTGTAGCGGTATAATAGGTCCTACAATGTTAGCCAGCACCTGAGGAAATGTTGGGGGAGATGCTTCTGCAAGAAGAAATTAATGTTGTCAGCCTATGGTCCTCCCCTCCACACAATATAATGCTCATCAGTTACTACCTGCCTGACTGGGGTTTGGGGAGGGAGTAGGGGGACCTGACAGACATCGCTGTAGGTAAGTGATAAAGGTCAGTGTCACCAGTGGTCCGTCAGGGTGATGGCATGTATACCCTGGTATGATGAGATGATAAAGGGGCCCTCTATCTGTGGTGTTCTCCCCAAAACCCATAACCTCTGTCTAACCATAGAAAAAACATCAAATAAACCCAAGTTAGAGACATTCTACAAAATATCAGACAAGAACTCCTCAAAACTGTCAAGGTCGTATAAAAACAAGGAAGGACTGAGCTATTAGAGACCTACGGAGACCTGGGGTTTATGACAAGTAAATGCAATAAGTTTTCTGGGTTAGTTCTCAGAGCAGAGCACATTAGCAGAAAACTGGTGAAATCCAAATAAGCCTGAAATTTAGTTAACAGTAATGCACCAGTGTGAGTTTCTTAGTTTTGACAAACATACCATAGTTCTTTTAGGTGTTAACATAGGGGAACCTGGGTAAAGCATATTCGGGAACTCTCTGTGCTATCTTGGCAACTTTTCTGTAAGTCATTCCAAAACAATTTTAAAAAAATATATGCATATGTAAACAAAAAGACCTATAAGGTGTGGAGGAATAGATTAAGATGTTTAAGACCACTATGGTAAGACTTAAAAAAAAAATCATTGAAGGTACCTGAAAAAAATGGGGAGACATAACCATGTTCATTGGCTAGAGAACTTGGTCTGTAAAGATGCCAGGTCTCCCCAAGTTTGTTTATAAATAAATTAGTATGATTCTAGTCAAAAGCCTACCATTAAAAAAAGAACTCGACAGGTTGCTCCTAAGGTATATACATTGGAGCAAAGGGCTGAGAAATGCTGAGACAAGATCAGCCATGTAAGGGAACTTGCCCTATAAAAAGACAGCAGTTGAGACTCTAGCATTGGCACAGGGGGCTGAGAGACCAGATGAGACAGTGGAAAGATCCACTGTGCATGTGAGATCCTGACACGTGCCAGACACATGCAATGTGTTCATGTGGGGAGAAGATAGACTTTTCAATAAATGATGCTGGGACAACCGAAGATTCAAGTAGGAAAAAGTAAAATCAGATCAGTTCTATAAGTACAATGAAAAGCAATACTTCAGAATTTGTAGAAAAAAATTCTAAGAATATCCTTTTGATCTTAGAGAAGGATTTATTATACAAAAAATCAAATTAAAATGGGAAAAAATTGATAACTGTTTACATTTAAATTTTTTAACTTCTCTATCAACAAGTTACCAACAAAATAAAGACAAGCCCTATTTTCAAGATATGTAACCAAACCAGGATTAGTATCTAACATCTAAATAACTCCTTCAAATACCAAAGAAAAAGATTAAAAAAAAATTTTTTTAAAAGGACATAATGAGGCAATTCACAAGAAAATGGGATGTATTATAAACAATGAACATGGTAACTTTTTTTTTTACTTATTTTTTTATTAAAGTATCATTGATAAACACTCCTATGAAGGTTTCACAAGAAAAACAATGTGGTTATTACATTCACCCTTATTATCAAGTCCCCCCGCACCCCATTGCAGTCACTGTCCATCAGTGTGGTAAGATGCCCCCGAGTCCCTACTTGTCTTCTCTGTGCTGCACTCTTGTCGCGTGACCCCACACACAAAACATGGTGACTTTTAAATTTAACATTTGTGTTACTGCTGTTCTCAACTGCTAAAGAAATACTCTCTCAGCTTGTTTTATATTTGAATTACACTAATGCATATATGAAATGGCATGGAATTTAATTTTTATTATTAACTTGGTTATTTTTGGTATCTGCAAGTGCTAGCAAACATTCACAGTAATGTTAACTGAGTTGCCAGGAAGTGCCCAGTCTGTCCTTTGCGCATCTGATCGCCACATGCAGCATTTAATGAACGGGAAGACTCAGCCAGTTCGTTGATGTGTCTCTTTGAAGAGTGCGGGGCATATTGCTCCATGATGAATAAATGCTGTAAAGGGCATTTTTTCAATGTTCCCTATTTTATGTTGCAAAATTGCATTTATGTACTTCTTGTGTTTATGTATTACCTAGATTTCTTCCCATTCATATTATTTACTTAAATTTATCTTTATTTTTTACTTTCAGTAGGAGTGATTTTGTTTGTTTCTGGGAGATGTAAGACTTGGGTTGTTTGTTTGTTTGTTTTCTAGAGCGTCCCATACCCTTTGATCATATGATGTATGAACATCTTCAGAAGTGGGGGCCACGAAGAGAAGAAGTGAAATTTTTCCTTCGACATGAGGATTCCCCCACTGAGAGCAGTGAACAAGGTAGCTGAGTGCCTTTTCCCCCCATTTGTTAATTTTTGCCATAAAAGTTACTTCTAGAAAAATAGAAATAATTACTAAAATAAATTATTCACATGATTTTTTTCCCTTCACACACAGGTGATGAGAGGAATATTTTGGTATCTCACTTTGGCCTCTGTTACTGAAGTTTACAATTATTACATACTTTTTAGGCACCCAGCCTTGCTTCTCAGGACTCCTAAGTCAGTCAATTAATGCGTTCAAACATGTGAGGGGACCTTCTGTTTAAAGGAATTGTTTTTGGTGAATACCATGTAGATCAATATCTAGGTTTTAAGAATAATTAAAACCATGAAAGAATTAGAAAAATTCTAAGAAATATGTTATTTAAAAAATTTTTAGAGTGAACAGAACTTTCTAATTGTAACACTAAGACTTAAAAGATGGATAAACTAAATTATTAAAAACATAACAAACAAAACTACATGGCAATAATCACCCTAAGCAGAGTCAAAAGGCAAGTTATAAACTGGGAAACGGCAGTTATAGCACATACTGTAAAGGGCTAATTTCCTTTACATATAAGAGATCCTACAAATCTAAAAAAATTAGTTAAAAAATGGCTAAGATATACAAACACAGTTCACAGAGAAGGAAATGTGCATGGCCCTGGGTATATGAAAAGGTGTTCAGCCTTAGTCCTAATAAAAGAAATGCAGGGAAAACACTAAGATAACTCTATTTCATCTGTCACTCTGACAAAGAGTAGAACATTTAATGACATGGTGTTCACAATGTTGAGAAACAGCCACTCTTCCCCATTGCCATGGGGGGGATCAGTTGGCAGCTTCTGTAGAGGGCAGTTTGGCAATATTCACACAGCAGTCTTACTTCTGAGAAGTTTTCTTAAAGCTGTGCCTGCATACATACAGAATGATGTATACATAAGTGTTTACTCATGGAAAATTGCTGGTAGGAACAATTAAATGCCTACCAGTGATGCCAGGCTTAGAGATTGTAGTACTTCCATGCAGTAGACTGCTCTACTGCGTAAATAACAAACAGGCCCTGTGCCCTGACTTGTACTGTCTCCTGGGCACTTCAAATGAATAGGCACAGTGCAAAACACAGTGCATACCATGCTACTTTCTGTGTAACAAAGACAAAAGAATAATTGTGTATGTCTGCATTGGCTTGTGTGTGTATAAAGTCTCTTTGGAAGGGTACCTAAGAAACTGGTAACCTTGCTAGCCTGGGAGGAAGGCTGCAAGACATGGGAAAATTGGTGGTTGTATACCTGTTTTTTCCTTTTGAATTTTGAACCATGAGACTATGTGACCCATTTTTGAATAAACATTTAAACAAAATAATTTTTTTTGTTAAAGCATGTAGGCTGTACAGTTTGGAGCCTATTAACTTGTCATTTAACAGTGATTGTAGATTACTTCTTCTATTTAAAAACAACAATAAAAGGACATCGTTTTTTTAAAAGATTCCTTTATTGCACATTATCCCCTAGGGTAAGCTGTTACATTTTGTCCTTAGGATGAGGTGCTATCTACTTGAAAATCATCTTCCAGAGCTATAAATATTGTTACAGTGCTGCTGCATTTCATAATGCACCATTACTTCTTGGTTTTATTCCACTGACTGGTCATCTGGAGTCAGGAGACCAAGGCTCCAGGTCCAGCTCTTCATCCATTTTTGCCTCAGACAAGGGGCCCTACCTCTCTGGACAGAGTCCTCCTGAGGTGGAACACTAGGCTGGCTGGCTGTTCAAGCGCTGTTCTGGTGCTAAGAAGTGATTTCAACTCTCTGCCTGAGCTCTCCCTCACCGAGTCATACTGAAATGAAGGTTTCCTAGTTTACTTTTACTGATACAATAAATGTACTTAAGGCTTAATGTCCTGGGGTTGTAGGAGGTCTTACTTTATTCTCACTTTATAAAGTTTAGAAGTGTTAGGGATGCTTAAGAGAACCGGGCAGAGTCCCAAGGGAGGTCACAGGGCTGACTTCATCACGTCACAGTGCTGCTCATCCTGCCTGTGCTCGCCCAGCAGGCCCATGAGACCACTGGGAGGAGGGGGCATGGCACTGCAGGGTTTTGTGGCGCACAGTGACTGCCATGGGCACCGAGCAGAGAAGGATGGGTGGGAATTGAAGGACAGTGCCGAGCTGCTGTGGTCTAGGCAGGAGTGAGGATGAGGGTGATGTGGCGGGGGATACACTTCTCATGGCAGGCTGGTATGGAAGACCAGTCAGGGTTGGCAGGACCCAGTTCAACACAACTTTCATCCCTTTTCAGAACTTCCAGCAAAGTCCCTGCTGCCCTATTTAACATTCCTCAGCTTAGCTCTGATGGCATTGTGACAGGGCCCTACCCATCTCTCCCACCTCATTGTCCCTTCTTTCTCTTGACTACATCCTTTCCTGCATATTTGTTCTCTCTCGTGCCCTAACTCAGAATTCCATTCCAGCAGCTGTAATGCTCTGCCCTCTGCCCTTTACCCTCTGCCTATGCTTGTGCATATTTTGCTCTCAGAGCTCGTGGCAAATTGAACAACTTGGGTCGGCGCTTTGCTCCATCTTGTTTGTGCCCACTGAATGGCGCCAGTTTATATTCTGAGCAGCCAGAGTGGAGGATCCAAGACTCATGTTACCTGTGTGCTTCCACAGAGCTGAGGACAAGGCAGTTGTCACCTATTGATACTATTTAAAAAGGATGAAATTTGGGTGCTTTTGTATGTAGAACTGCAGAATGTAACAAGAAGAGAATCCCTCTCTAAAAGACTAAGAATTCTTTATTTGGAAGCTAGAGGAGAGCATAGAGGACTTTCACTTCAGCCACTTTTACACTTGGGGAAACAGAAGCTTAGAATGTAAAAGTACCTTGGTGAAGGTCACGGGCAGAGCATAAACCAGAACCTGGGAGCTGGTGTGATGGAGCTTGGAGCAAGGCTGCCTGACTTCAGCAGCCAGCCCTTCTGCACACTTAGCGTGGACCTGGTGCAAGTGACCTCACGTCTGTGTGCCTCCATTTCCTGTCTGCAGGTTTCCTAGGATTGGGGGGATTGATGAGGTGACCTGCTGAAATGCTCGGAGGGCCTCAGTGCCCAGTAAGTGTTCGCTAACTGCTGATTCTTAGTATTCATGATTTTTTAACTCAAGATGCAAGATCCTCAAGTTTTTTCTTTGCTATCAGAGATTAAGTGGTACTTGGTATAATTTTAATGTATATACTAATTCTTGTTAGTTTGTTGTTAGGAAGAGACAGCAATTACAGAATATTAAATTAACCTGATTGCCTTATGCCTTAAAAATACCAAGAATAAAACTAAGTTAAATTTACCCTGTAAATGGATAGATGCCATAGTTGTATGTGTGTATAATTCCTGCTAATAGGAAATCACTCTTGATTTTATGAAATGGCTACTGTATATTATATGACCATGTTCGGTTGCATGCTGTGTTACTGTTACTCACATTTATTTAAATTCTTTTTTTCATTATCTCCCAAAGGACCCTTTTTTGGATGTTTTGTTCTCCCTGTCTTTCCCTCTTCCCCTGTATCTTTTATGTACTATATATATATTTGCTTTATACATAAACAGTAAGACATTTTTATCCCCTAAGGACCAATCTTTGCCCCCATGGGGCTATCACTGTCTTTGAGAATACATGGTTTAAGGTAAAGTTGTACTAACGAATATAGTTTTTCTTCAAATTTTTCAAAGCAGTAAAGAAGGAAAATGTTTTTGTCTTTTTGTTTTAACATTAGGATCATGACCTTTGAAGTCAGGTATTCTAGGTAATAAAGCAGGCTCTGGGGTGTAATAACTCTCAAAATAGCATCAAGTAAAAGCTGGAGAGATGAGTGAAATAGAAACAGGCACTTGACACATCAAAGACATTAATTCCTATGACTTCAGGTTCACCTGATACCAACTATGCATCATACTTTATTTTGTTTTAAAAATGACAGGACATGTAGAGCATTTTTCCCGTTTAAATTTGAAACCTTTTTTATTTTATTTTTATGGAATAAAAGAGAATTCATAAGACTGCCCAATTTAAGATGGTATCTCATCTCAGCTTTAACCCTGTTAGGAAAGAATAGATTTGTGAATCTGTTTTTTTCATTGCTGACTATTAAGTTCTATTTTAGTCTCTTCCAAAATATAAAAGCCTTTTTAAATTTTTTAATAAAAATTAATAGTGATAAAATATGTATAACCTAAATTTACCATCTTGACCATTTTTGAGTGTTAGAAACCTTTTGATACAATCTCAAAATTCTGAAGTAGAATGTTAGAAGAAAAATTTTCATTTAAACAACTTCATATATAAAGATTAATTATAAAACATCTTTTCAGTTGTACTAAGTCTTGAATTGTTCAGGGTGTTTTTTACTGTATTTAATAAATATTCAAAAGAAGATGTGGTACATATACACAATGGAATATTATTCAGCCATAAGAAGAAAAATCCTACCATTTGCAACAACATGGATGGAGCTAAAGGGGATTATGCTCAGTGAAATAAGCCAGGTGGAGAAAGACAAATACCAAATGATTTCACTCATATGTGGAGTATAAGAACAAAGAAAAACTGAAGGAACAAAACAGCAGCAGAATCATGGAACCCAAGAATGGACTAACAGTTACCAAAGGAAAAGAGGCTGGGGATGATGGGTGAAAAGGGAGGGCTAAGGGCGGGGAAAAAGAAAGGGGGCATAACGATTAGCATGTATAATGTGGGGGTCACGGGGAGTGCCGTACAACACAGAGAAGACAGGTGGTGATTACACAGCATCTTGCTACGCTGATGGACAGTGACTGTAGTAGGGTGTGTGTGGGGAACTTGGTGAGGCGGGGAGCCTGGTAAACATAGTGTTCTTCATGTAATTGTAGATTAATGATAGCAAAAATATAAATAAATAAATAGATAGATAAACAAACAAATAAATATTCAAGTAAGTAAAAAAGGAGGGGGGCGAGTATTATTTTTCTGGTATGTTTCGGTAAGTTTGGCCCTTGCATTTCTTCAGGTGGCCATCAGACCCAAGAGCACAGAACTCAGAGAAATATAATAAATGTACCTGGAGAGAAGCGCACTGAAAATGGGGTAAGTAATTAAATTTAATAGAATTAAACTGATAATTTTAAATTGCTTTTTACAGGTACAAATGAGTTTGCATTATCATTTGTTTTTAAAGAACTATTTTTGGGGTACAAATTGTTATTTTTGCTGTACTATTTCAAAACTGTTTATGAAGCTATAGAGGGGCAGTTGCTGATGGTTTCCTGATCGGCAGTCCAGCCCAGGATAGTCTCGAGCAGAGCAGCTGCTCCAAGGGCCCGTCGCCTGCACGGGGTGGGTGTCCGTCTCCAGACCGAGAGATGAGCAGGCACACCTGCCTGTGTCTTCAGTGGTGATGTCTTGATCCTTCTGTCAGGTTCTGAGAGACGAAATGACTGGTGGGTTGAAGTCTCCTTCCCAGTTGCCTCCAGGAGAGAAAACATCCTTTGTCAGCATGGGAGCTGAAGAAGAGGCCCAGCAGTGGTTATAGGTGAAGAAGTGGGTCTAAGTGGAAGGAGGTTTTTTTCAGGAATGTTGGGTTAGGTCAAAAGAATGGATGGAAATGAGCAAATGATAATCAGTGAATGAGAAGTTTTCAGTGTGGTCTTTTCTGGAAATTTTAGTAATAACTATTCCAAATGATTTTAAGACCAGAGAATTAGTTTTTTTTTCTGGCTCTGCCATTAACTAGGTACCACGTAACCATGAGAAAGTCACTTCCTAGCCCAGTGCTTGGCACAGCGGATAACCTGGGGTCTAAAATGGGGAAGGCCCATATTCAGACGCTGGCTTCAGAACTTCCTAACTAAATTTGCGCAAGTTACTTTGCATCCCTGCTTCCCAACTTAATATGGCTGAATTGCTGTTTTAGTTCTTTTATTGATACACTTAAATCTCAATTTTTTTGTACTATCAAGTTTGAACCATATCACTGGACATCCCTCCCTGTAAGATGAGGCCATTAGCCCTCCCCCTTGTATCCATCTCCCCCTCCTTCCTACCTTCCAGTTCCTTCAGCCGTACTTTTATGTTGTCCAGGTTGATCATATTTGTGTACTGTTATCTAATTAAGCTTTTTATACTTTACCTATACATTGGTTATAAAGTTAAAAGCATTTAATAGTGTTTATTTAATTTTACATTTCACAGGTACTGTCCACTGCAGAGCCAAGTGTTATAATAGATTATATTTTCTTCTCTTTGACTTCAATGTCATAAGCCTTATGCCACTCAGGGAAGATTGGTCCCAGTGTCAAGATTATGGATTCCCCCTCCTTGCCCTCTAGTTTCTAAAGAGCATTCCACAAATCCTCTCTCACTCCTGCCTTCTGACCCACTTGTCCACTCCAAATCTAGAGCCTCTATGGGGCTCTGCCAGGCATATATGCTTCAGAAAGTCCTAAGAAATAAAGGCTCAAGCCCTTGGCAAAACTTCTGATTCAGTAAGTGTGGGGTGGGCCTAGAAAAGTGCCTACATGACTGTGTTGCCCTGCCTGGCTTGGGAATTTGCAGTCACATGAACATCGTGTCATAAACATTCAGAGCTTACTTGTCCAACAGAACTATGAAGATCACTTTGAGTTGTAAGAGTTCCTGTGACCTGAACTTCAGGGAAGGTGAAGTAAATACATTGAGTAGGCTGTGTATTGAGGTGGGGACTGTGTACATATGATGTAGGGAAGGGACTCAGGAGGAAGCATTCCAATGGCATAATAAAGTGAGTTTTGATGTTTTGATGTGATAGGTCTGTGAAGTTGTTTCTTGCAAACATGGAGATAATGTTTACATCTCAAGAACAACAAAACTGAAACATGAAACCAAAATTAAAAATGTGTTTGTAGCCTTTATGTAGCTTGTAATTAGGAAGGTGGAGAGCTTGTCTAGAGGTATAACTTTGTGCAGGAAGCATTACGTCAAAGATGTTACTGTATTTTATGGCATACACACCTACCTCTTAAGCCTAATAATAGGCTCCACCTTTGTAAAACACTTTATTGTCTACAAAGCACTTTTACATGCATTTTTAAAAGTAACAAATATGTTAAAGACATCTTTTTCCAAAAATGTTTTTGTGTACACTGTGGATCTAGAGTAATGGCAGGTTAAACTTCTGCCTCAAGGGCTGTAGCAACCAGGAACAGATCAAGAAGCAGCTATGAGTGGAGGGGGTGTGAGAGAAGGACAGGATGTAGAGTTGGTGTGATTTGTGCCCATTAGCTGCTGAGACAAGAGGCTGGGGAAGCTCTGCTTTCCAAAAATGGCAGGTCAGTAAGTCAGGTTGTCTGAGAAATGAAGTTCCCGACCTCATTGGCAGAGCTTTTAATTTAGTAAGTCTGGGGTGGGCCTGGAAAACTGCCCAGATTTCTGTGTTGTCCTGCCAGGTTTGGGACCCTCATGAAGTCTCGGCAAGGATGTGGGGAGCCTGGAACTCTCATGCACTGCTGTTGGGAATGTAAAATGGTAGAATCGGGAAAGCAGTTTGGCAGTTTCTGTAAAACTTGAACATCAGTCTGTTAAATAGTCCAGCAGTTCTACTCCTAGGTATTTGCCCAAGAGAAGGGAAGGCAAATGTCCATACAAACCTGCACATGAACGTTCATAGCAGTTTGATTTGTTGTGACCAAAATCTAGAAACAACCCTAATGTCTATTACAGGTGAATGGACAAAAAAACCTCTGGTATCCATACAGTGAAATATCACTAAGCAGTAAAAAGGAGTGAACTACTGATACATGCTCCAACACGGATGAGTCTCAAAATTATGCTGAAAGAAAGAAGCCAGACCAAAGACTACATACTACATGATCCCATCTGTATAAAATTGTAGAAAATGTGAACTAATATCTAGTAACAAGGTAGATCAGTGGTCGCCTATGCACCTGGGAGCTGGGAGGCACAAGGGTGAGGAAGGAAGGGATCACAGAAGCACAAGGGAATGTGGAGGTGGTGGTGATGGATTTCTTCATTTTCTTGACTGGTGGTGATTTCATGTGTATACATCTGTCCGAATGTGTCATATTGCGCACTCTAGGTATGTGCAGTTTAGTGTGACAAATTATACCTCAATAAAATGGTTTTTAAAATTCATTAAAATTTTTAATTCTGGAAGTTTTATTTGGTTCTTTTCCACCTCTTCTTGGTTATTCTTTTCTCATATACTTTTTCTTATTAAGGTATCATTGCTGTACACTCTTATGAAGGTTTCACAAGAAAAACAATGTGGTTATTACATTTACCCTTATTGTCGGGTCCCCTTCCATACCCCGTTGCAGTCACTGTCCAGGCCACAGAGTCCCTATTTGTCTTCTCTGTTTTTGCTCATATTTAAGCGTCTCCTGTTTGTTTAAACCCACTAGAATAGTTATTTACCTTTTTGTAACTAATCATTTTAGTATCTGCATTGCTACTTTTGCTGGCTGTTAGTCATGGTGCCTTGATCGTTTATGTGTCTTGATTTTTGACAGTGAGCTGCCCATTTTCTTGGATCTGTACCTGTGAGCATCCTTTGAGGTCTTGATGAAGGTGGGCTTTTCTTGCAGTTTGTATTTACTCTGATCAGTAACTGGACACACATATAGGGTCACTGTGGTGCTCTTTGTAGGTAACAAGCTTTCATAAAGGCTGTCTAGTGGCTGCAGATTCTTAGGGGTGTGTTTCCCCTCCCCTCAGACCATGATGGAGAAAGGCAGGTTTCCCTGCTACCCCCTTCTGCAAGTGGGTCTTATTTACTCTCACATGGAGATTAGAGCCTTTTGGAATCCTGGGTGTATGTGGACATATCCTATGAACTCTCCACTCTGGGGTGGTTCTTGTGTCTCTCTCTGTTCCACGCTTCAGCAGCTGCAGAGGGCAAGTCACCAGGTAGGCACAAGCCAACTTTGGTGTCCCTCCTCCTTGCCCAGAGCACCTGTCATCTCCGTCTTTGGCCCCTGTATTTTCCATACTGTTGTATCAGCTCAGTAATGCTTTTAAAAACAGGTTTTATATTTTATCTTGCCTTTTAGATGTTGCTGTCAGTGGTGTAATTCAGCATGTCTTGTGGACCATACTGTTGGAAACAGAGCAGTTCCCAGGTGTTTTGCGTGTAACTCTCATGTGGCATGTGGTTGGTTTTATCTCACTGGTATTTGTGTTTGTTGATGTTTCTGTTTTCCTGCTGCTCTTTCTAGCCCTACTTGTTCCTAGCCACTTGCCGTGGGTATAATTGTGTTGACCCAAACTGAATTTTAATCATTAGAACAATTCACATTTATAGGATAAAATGGCTTATTGTAGTATTATTGTTGGGGGTGGGGAGCCACTATACATTTTAGATATCTCTAATTAATTTTTAAGATTTAGTAATTATTGGAATATGAAATATTCCAGCTCAAGATTATAATAAGATGTTAGAGAGTCTCAATTTTATTGAATATTTTATGTTATAAAAATAAGTCTACACGTTTATAATGTATGTTGATATCATTATCACCTATTTTTTTGTTTGCTAAATAGGCAAGTAAATATATTCTCCAAACCTAAATATTTATAACCTTTGAGAGAGAGATAAAAAGAGGAATGACTTAATGTTCTTGGACATTATGTTAGCATACATACATTTTTATCCTAATGATTTTGTTACAGTTTTGTTTTAGGGATGTTTGTCATTTTTGAAGTGACATTATACTTGGAATCCACTTATAATTTGAAAACTAACTGTAGTTTTAAACAAATATCTTGTGATGATTAAATTACAAGATAGAACATTATCTGTTTGGTCTAATTTTTCTCTATTTCTTTTTTATTGTTAAATGTACATAACAATGTGTAAAACATGTAGTTTAAAGAATTACTTTAAAGACGTTCAGGTAATTACCACCCAGGCTTGAAATTTCTCTCATTTTTTTTAAAGCATTTCTATCCAGTTTATTTTGATTTTAGACAAACCAAAGGCATTCTAAAAGCAAGGTCTTTGGTGGCAACTATTTAAATCTATCTCGGATTCCACAAAGGAAAGGGTCTGTAAACAAATAAATCACCCTGCAGTGCAGGAAAAGTGGAATAAA